GTCATAAGAACAAAATAGTGGTTCTATTTATCTGTATTCTTTCTTCCTTCAAGGAAATGATGTCATGAGAACAAAATAGTGGTTCTATTTATCTGTATTCTTTCTTCCTTCAAGGAAATGATGTCATGAGAACAAAATAGTGGTTCTAGTTATCTGTATTCTTTCTTCCTTGGGGTTTGAAATTAAGAGATACATGTTGTTAGGATCACTCCTACTTGTACAAGATTGTTATTGTATTTTGCTTAGGTTAAAAAAAAGTAGGATTACTGTTGTAACAATAGCTTATTTAGATCAATACAATAATTATGTTGTGGTTCTTCAGCTGTCTGTGTTAGGTTTTTCATATTTCGTAAATACAATTACTTGGTTAGCAAACTACATGTTGTTGTTTTTTTTTACCGAAACAGTAAATATAGAAATAAATATGCTGATTTCTAATAATTAACTAAGTATAAACTAGCACTGTTTAATAAATACCTTAAGACCTTGGAAAACCAAGTCTGAATATAATGATTAAATCTCTATATGATATCAAAGTATGAGCTTAAAACGTTTGTTTCCACACAAGAAACGTACAAATCAATTTTGAGATAAAATATCATTCTAAACAAATTCTCATTTAAAACTTAAGTGCTTACTAGCCACACCAAAAGTTTAAGGCACCTGATATGATGAAGTAGATGTTTCATCTATTAGAGTCTGACTGGTGCCTCTGTCTTTGCTCTTTGTCTCAGATGTTTCATCTAGTAGAGTCTGACTGGTGTCTCTATCTTTGCTATTTCTCTCAGATGTTTCATCTAGTAGAGTCTGACTGGTGTCTCTGTCTTTGCTCTTTGTCTCAGATGTTTCATCTATTAGAGTCTGACTGGTGCCTCTGTCTTTGCTCTTTGTCTCAGATGTTTCATCTAGTAGAGTCTGACTGGTGTCTCTGTCTTTGCTCTTTGTCTCAGATGTTTCATCTAGTAGAGTCTGACTGGTGTCTCTGTCTTTGCTATTTCTCTCAGATGTTTCATCTAGTAGAGTCTGACTGGTGTCTCTGTCTTTGCTATTTCTCTCAGATGTTTCATCTAGTAGAGTCTGACTGGTGTCTCTGTCTTTGCTCTTTGTCTCAGATGTTTCATCTATTAGAGTCTGACTGGTGCCTCTGTCTTTGCTCTTTCTCTCAGATGTTTCATCTAGTAGAGTCTGACATGCTTCTGTTTTTGTTCTTTCTCTCAGATGTTTCATCTAGTAGAGTCAGATTGATGTCTTCTGTCTTTGTTCACTTCCAGGTATTTCAAGTAGTAGGTTGATTGATGTCTTTGTTCACTTCCAGGTATTTCAAGTAGTAGGTTGATTGATGTCTTTGTTCACTTCCAGGTATTTCAAGTAGTAGGTTGATTGATGTCTTTGTTCACTTCCAGGTATTTCAAGTAGTAGGTTGATTGATGTT